CTTCGATACATCCTCTCTGGGGCACCTGGTGCTGGCCACTGTCAGCAGACAGGATACTGGGCCAGATGGACCTTTGGTCTGACCCAGTACGGCCATTCTTATGTTCTTATGTTCTAAGAACTAGGAAGGGGGTGAAGTACTGGAATGGGTTACCTAGTGTGGAAGAAAACAAGTCCTCACTCTGCATTTGTAAGCAACATGTCAGAGGCAGTTTATTTTGAGCAATTGGAAGGGAAGACTGTGGTTGAACTGGGGGTGGTGGTGGCCCCCCTTCCTTAGACAAATCTTCAAAATACAAGCAGTCTAAGACAAGTATATATACTCTCCCGTTACATACATCAACGGCTAACGGTTCTCTCTCTGCCCACACAATTCCCTTATCTCAAGGTTCCTGCTGGAGTCAACATTCATACTTATCTCTAAAGCGAGGTGAAGAAAGCGTCCCTACAATTCTCGCTCTCACTTTGTTAGGCCTTAGGGTTAGCCTGTCTCTTGTTCTATTCCTACCAACCCTAAGATGGCTGCAAACAAAGCCATCATGTCAACTCCACTAGGAAATCCCCTAATCTCAATTTCAGATGCTTGTGGCTCATGCTCATTTGTAGCGATATCATATACTTCTATCTCCACTGATCCATCTGTTTTCCACTCAATTGTTCACTCATATGAGATATTCTGAACCTTAAAGAATAAATTTTCCATACAATACTTAGCTAAAGCACTAAGGTGTGAAGGTCTTGGCTATTGGATTTCATCAGAATATATAGTATTGTCTACATTTGGATATGTTAAAGGGGTGGTAGTGGATATGGAGGAGAGGGTGAAGGCAGTGGCATCAAGGTGCTTTTGGTATTCCTTATCTGAAAGCCAGTTGGGGAGGGCAGTACATTCTGATGGTACCTGTCCGTAAGCACAGAGCCTAGATCCTGGAAGAAACCCAAACTACCACTCAACACCACATTCCCAAGATTGAACCCCACAAGTCCCTCCTTGCCAATGACAAGGTTGCTCAGGGTCCTTGGGTAATGCTTCCTTTACCTGTGGATAAAGAGACCTAAGACATTTCATTAATGCCTGGCAGTAATTAAGCATGGTATCATCCATTAAATGAATGTCCATTTGGGCAAGGGCCAGCGGGGGCGCTGCCGGTAGTCACATCAGGCATCCTGTCAGGATTTCATGAGGGCTGAGTCCAGTCTTCCACTTGGGGTTGGCCCTCATGCTCATTAATGCCAATGGAAGGGCATCTGGCCATTTCAAGTTTGTTTTTACACAGATCTTGGCCAGTTTACTTTTCAGAATCCCATTTTGATGCTCCACTGTCCCGGCAGACTGTGGGTGGTGGGGGCAGTGGAGGTTGTGTTGAATTTGCAAGGCTGCACATAACCCTTTTACAATTTGTCCAGTAAAAATGAGTACCACGATCACTGTTGATACCAACAGGTATACCAAACCTTGGTACAAAATCTTTTAGCAGGATTTTCACAACAGACTTGGCATCTGCCCTTCTGCAGGGGAAGGTTTCAACCCAACTGGAAAAAACATTAACCAATACTAATACATACTCATAATTATATTTGAATAAAATCAATCTGAATATTTACAAAGGGTCCCCAAAGAGGGGGGGTGCGATGCCTGCCTAACTTTAACAGCAGATTGTACATTGTTGGCAGTAGTGCTGGGCCACAGAAGCAAAATCTGGTGTACACCAGTCTCATTTTACTGCAGCAATCATCCCCCCTTTGCTCACGAGCAAAATAGGGCAAGAGTACCCTAGGCACAACCAGGCAGCCGTCCTGGGAGCGCCAAAGGTGATCAGGATGTAAAGTGCTCCCAGCAACACTCCAAAAACATTTTTCACCTTCAGGTAGCAGGGCAATTGGCTATTATTACAATGGTGAGGTTACTAGTTTCCCCATTGTTGTGGGCATCTTTACTTAAATATGCTGATGTCCCACTTGCCTGTGTTGTTTCAGTTACAGATTTCTTGTTATCTCTGGTCAAACCACTTTCATGGTTGGTGTGCAAGTTGCAAAGCTAAATATTTCTCTAATGTGGCAATTAAAGCAAAGCAAACCCAGTGGGGAGGAGGTTGGTACCCCACTTCCAGTCCTTTTCACATGATGCACTCCTTGCTCCCTTCCTCCAAGCTCCATAGGAGTAGCAGGAGCTGCAGCAGGAAGAGCCTTATAGTTACCTTCCTTTTTGTTCACTTATGGAGACATTGTTAACAGTCTCCTAGCTTAAACAATTGCCAAACTATTATCCTTTCACTAAGTTTAGAGTTGCCAATTGATTGGGCCCAGTTATTAATTTTGTTTTTGTTTAAACTCATGCTTTAGCTTTACTTAAAATGTTCTTTCATTAAAAAAACCAATTTTCTACACACAACAACATTTGCAATACGTATACCACAATTAAGACACACAAGACAAACTTGTACAGAACACAAACTCATTATGTCATGACAGCAGAACCATGGGGTTTTTTTTCGGTTGCTCTTCAGCTGGTACCAGCGCTTTCTGATGGTCTGAAAGACAAAGAAAACATTTCTACCCCCGTGGGGGTGGCACATTGTATTTTAGAATACTTTTCTTTTACAGATGTTCTTGCTAATTTTTGATCAGCCTGCTGTTACCCAATTATATACTTTTAATTTGCACACCAGCTTCAGAGGGTTTGGGTGAATTATTTCTTTGTTCAATTATTAAGTTAAAGGTGGCATGCCTCAGTTTCCCTCTTGTACCACAGACCAGGTGTTTAATGTGTGAAGCTTCAAATTATTCACGGGTGGCAACTGAGAGGTTTTACTGCTATAGTAATTTTCCTTAGCACAAGGTGTTTTCTAGTTACTATTTCAGCAAGCAAAAAGGTTTTCTTTTCCTGAAAAGAATCATATACAATGTTACAGGCTTAATTATTAGTGTTATGTTAATAATAATTATTATTTCAAATAGTTGTTTATAAATATCTTGTTTATATTTGGACAATTTATTTCAGGAGACGGTGGGTTTTATATTCCTTTGAAATAGCCAGGCAGCCTGCATTCACATACAACTTTGGATTTGAAGGCAAGCCAAAAAGTATTATCAACTCAGCCTTGAAAAGAGACACAGTGAAGTTCTAGGGCTTGGATTTTTTAAAATAATAATTTGTTTTCTTAGAGAGTGAATTTAATCTTAAGGGTTGAATGCCCTGGGACAAGCAACACTAATCAATTTGTGCTTTGTCTGTTTGCAATTTTAAGTGAGAGGGCATTATCCAAACTAAATAAAATCAATTCATTTGAAACCTACAAAGCAGATTTACAATGTATAGATTTCATTTTTTTATGAAGTTAGCCAGTTAAATGTCAATAAGATTCCTTATTTCCCCTTTAGTAGATTTAGCAAAAGTGTCTGTAGCCAAATATTTAAATTGATTGTTTCTTTTGCCTGGATTATTGAAAGAGGCTGCAAGAAACAAGGAGTTGTTTTTAAAGCAGGTTTTTTCCTCACACATTACAACAATTGCTTAATTCCTTCCATACTCCCATGGAGTCAACCTTTCACCTTTGCATACCCTTAATCACTTGCTTTGTTCCTCAAATGAAAAATTCTCATTCCTGTTAATTTAACTTTCTAATGACTGTATTACTGCTTTCCTTATTCCTTCTACTTTGCCCATAGGGCTCCAAACCGCTTACCCTCTTTTAACATGCTTTTTCCTTCTTATGGTCTGTCTTGATTCCTGCTAAATGGCTTTTTCCAATTACACTGGTGCTGTCCATTATTAATTTAGTGAGAAGGGTGGGCTTTTCAATTAGCCTCCACAGCTTCTGGTTCCTTTCATTGGGTAAATTCAAATGTTTATTAAGAAAGTCAGCTAATAATACTTTTTAAACTTCTTAGTACAGGGTTTTTCGTAACAGCCAAGCTGCAGCAGGCATGATCTATGCTGCTGGCTCTGGGGTGGATCACTCCCTTATGCTCTGTAAGGAGATGTATGCCGCAGAATGTGTCTCCTTGTTAGGGCACATTTGGCTTCCAGTGATTACAATTTCAAATTCGATTTCTACCGGTTGACTTAGGGTGGCTTTTAATTTACCTCCTCCCACGCCCTCAAGCCAAACATAACAGCGTGTGAAGGGAAGGTTTTGGCTGTTTATTAATATTTTGCCTGGCCAGTCCCCACTCATGTGTTAAAAAACATCCTTGGGTTGCCTGCGGTTCCAGCCAGAGAGGCTGCTGTTATCTATTTGCTAGCAAGGAGCTTGTGAATCTCCTGGAGTTGCTTGGCAGCTTTCTCCTGCTTCTGTGTGCTGTTCTGCGTGTCCTATGTGCTAGGGGCATTCTTACTCGGCCATTGTCCTGCCTTACCCCCTCCGGGGTAGAAGCATTCTTTTTTAGTGTGCCTGGAGGTCCTAGGACCATAATACATGTACATGTAGTACACAGGGGTGCCCTTTGACAGTGTGGGGGTATTCTTAGACTTACCCCCACCCATTTTCAGTTACACAAGGGAGTCCTGTCTGCTCAGAGGCTCATAAGAAACTATTTTCACACACTCCAAAGAAGGGGTCTGCTGGGTCTTGAGATGCAGACCTTATCAGCAGCTCATTAAATAAGGAGAGTCAATTTCTCATATATATCCGCTGGGTCACGAGGTTTGGCTGACCCCTCCTTGAGTTCAGGATTCCCTCATAAGGTAGCCTTCGTGCGGCTGGAGTCAGCTTAAGTCTCAGACCTGGTCAGCGGCATTCACTCCTCACTCATCACATTCATACTCATTCATTCCCCATATCTAGATGCATCTTCTTTAACCATAACCTTAATTCCTTATGTCCAGACTTAATACAACCTTTCCCTTATTTGAGGGCAGCAAAAGTTCCTCAGCACCGCTTTGCGTCTGACCGTGTTGCAGATTCAATAAGTTCAGATGGCGTGAACCCAAAAGGAACAGACAGCCCCATGGGCAGTCCTCCTTCGACACCCTAGTAGAGATTTCAAAAGGTCTCTTACCTCTTGTTTTGCACCTTGGGGCTCGAAGGGGGACGATCCATAGTAATTCTGCTGTCTCAGCCGGGCATTACCATCCAAGTCACGGTACCAAATTGTGGAATAAAACGAGTCCTCACTCTGCGTTTGTAAGCAACAAGTCAGAGGCAGTTTATTTCCAGCAATTACAAGGGAAGACTGCGGTCGGACTGGGTGGGGGGTGGCCCCCCTTCCTTAGACAGATCTTCAAAATACAAGCAGTATAAGACAAGTATATATACTCTCCCATTATATACATCAACAGCTAACAGTTATCTTTCTGCCCACACAGTTTCCTTCAGATGCTACCTTATCTCAAGGTTCCTGCTGGAGTCACCATTCCATCCTTATCGCTAAAGCGAGGCGAAGAAAGCATCTCTTACAATTCTCACTCTCGCTTTGTTAGGCCTCAGGGCTAGCCTGTCTCTTGCTCTATTCCTACCAACTCTAAGATGGCTGCACACAAATCCCCTTTTTCCCTTTCCCTGCTTCTATACAAGGAAGGTGGTAGAATTTCCATCCCAAGACGTTTTTAAGTCCCAGCTTGACAAAGCCCTGGCTGGGATGATTTAGTTGGGGTTGGTCCTGCTTTGGGCAGGGGAGCTGGACTTGATGACCTCCTGAGGTCTCTTCCAGCCCTAGGATTCTAAAAGCAGGTATGTCTATGCAAATATATTCTGCTCCTCCAATTTGTCACTTGAGGGTAGAGAAGAGCTCATTCAGACCACTGCTTCCATTACACCAGCTTTGATGTGCCTGGCTGATACCAAGGCTTAAAAGTAACATTGATAGAAATGGTTTTAAAAAAAGCCATAGCTGTAAACCTAGGCTATAATGAGGGGAACAGCTGGGAATTGCCCTTAAATTCTCATTAAGATGTTAGGGAGCATAAAGGTACAGGAACTCCCTGCAAAACCCACTGGGACAAAGTCGAATTAAGATACGCAACTTCAGCTACATTAATAGCATAGTTGAAGTAGCTCACCTCGACTTTTGGTGCTGTCTAGACTGCAGGAAGTCGAAGGAAGAACACTCATTCTTTGACTTCCCTTACTCCTTGTGAGGGTTACCAGCATCGACTGAAATGCCCCTCTCACTTTGAATTAGCTGTGTTAACTAGACCCATTAATTCGTACCCTGGAAGATCAACAGTGGCAGCTTCGATCTTCCTCTGTAGTGTAGCTGTACCCTTTACAGGCTGTTGTAGGGTTCTCTACCTTCATTTCCCCTGACTGGCAGTCAAGGCAAGGAGAAAGCAGCGGGTTGTGCCCACGAAAGCTCATGATGCCATCTACATTTTTTGTTAGCCTCCAAGGAGCTGCAGAATCATTCAGTTTTTTTTAAGTCTTAACAAAACAGTATGTCCTCTTTGTACCGCACAAGAGCAGCGATGCCAAACAGTTCAGAAGCTTCTCACCACAAACTCTGATTTGGAGCCACCATATTTAATGTCCATAATACCCAGTCTCGTAGATCCTGAAAGAATGTTGCCTGCCTCCATGACTTTTATTTCCTCTCTTCCTGTGTATATAGCCGGAGGTAAGATGGGGTGAACCTCCTCGATTACACCCCAGGGTCTCTCAGCTATAGACTGTAGCCTGTCCCTTAAACCAGTGGCATACTACTGCAGTCAGCCGTAATCAGTGGACTGAACAATTATGAAACAATGTTGCTAACAAAAATTGCCATGCTGTTATGCAGGAGGGTGTATATCCCCTCAGCTGATCATACGAAACAGGCCCCTTAGGTGCAAAAAGCTGCATTTTGACAAATGATACAAAGTTTAAAATAAAAAGCAGTTTTGAGATTTTGACGCTGATAAGAATTTTCATTTTCAGAGCAGATCTTTCATTGTTTTCCAATAGTCCAGTGCTTGCTTCTTGATTTTTCAGAAATGGATGCTGACTTTGTGCACACTTTCTTGTGCCTGCACCAACTGTGCAGTGAAAAATTGCTGATGCATTTTATTGCACTTAGCTAACTACTGGATTGCAACTATAAATAATTATTAATCATTTAGCATCCAGAGTGGGCTAGTGCTTACCTGACAGGTTAGAGTCCCATTCCTGCCCTGAAGATTTTACAATCTGAAAACCAGTAAAGACAAACAAAAAAGAAACAGGTGGAGAGGAGAACTGGAATTGCAGATTCCTGTGTTTACATTGGTGTCTCAGTATGTTTTATAGTGTGTGGTATTTAAAGGTTGGGACTTTCAAGGTATTTTATGAGAATTAGTCCTAATTTTGAATTTCAGTGGGATTTGAGTGGCCAGTTCCTGGTATCCTTTAAAAATCCCATTCTTAAATGCTCTCAGTGTTTGTATCTCCCACAGTTATTTGAGGATGCCAAAGCAGAGGATGCATTGAGGTCCACACAAAAATCTTGGCCTTCATTTTATGTTATATTAAGAATGACCTTCACTACAGAAGGAAACTTTTATTTTGTTATTTTAAAATATCTGAGTAAGTCTAGTAAGGCTAATCTGAATATGATTACACAGACTCAGTTTTTTCCATGTACTTTCACATTTCAAACTTTCTTTCAAAGCCTGTAATTATTACTACTCTAATTATACTGCCATTTAAATACCTTTATATCAATTTTAGAATAATCAGGTATATGAATATGAAGTACTTTCTTTATGATACTATTTTCCTCAATACCTGACCCTGTAGAGAGAAAAATGGTCTCCACCATGTTATTACAATTACAGCAAGAGACAATAGCTCAGTGAATGATATAAACCTCTGAACACTGTACTTTAGAAAATCATTGGCTTCCTGTGTGCTTCTCCCCCCCCCCCTTGCTTGAGGGGATATAAATGTGACATCAGTGAAAAGTCCAACAAACAAACCCAGAACTTTCAAATAGCACTGGTTGGGAACTTTCAGACAAAGAGGGGTGGTGGTGGTGGTGTTTGTTTTTGGAAAATGTCAGTTTATCAAAATAAATTTTGTATGAAAACATGTAAAAGTCAGTGAAAGATGGGACTGGTGGGAAAAAGGCAAAGAGTGTGTGAGAGAGGCTAATGGTGTGTGGGTAATTTAGGTTCAAGTCTGTGTTCTGACTTATTTGGTGTTCTAACTAGTGGATCATAGAGTCACTGTGAAACCCTGGGTCAGGTTAGCATCAGTCTATTCATGTAATTTTATTTGCTTATCTAATTTCCCACCATACTTTCAACTGAACTATTCCATCCTATTTAATTTTCTTCAACGGGTATAGTCTGATAATATTGCTGTGCATTCTCAACTATGTTTTAATCCAGATTGTTTTTCACTGATGCAGGAAATTACCCCTACACATTTTTTACAGGTGTCATGGAGACATAGGAAGACTTCATGCATTACAGATGATATATAAAAAAGTGCACTTACGTTTGGGTCTTCTGATTAAAGGCAAAAGTATAAGGTATGCATTTCTTAATTGCATTCAGGGCTTGCTTTCATCTTATCACATAATGTTCATGGAGTATATTTACAGTTACTGAATGCTGCAGCTTCTTAAGCATTTAATCATTCCTAAAGTAATTTTATTGCCTTCCGTTTCTCCAACATTTTCCATAAATAGATCTATATATAATACTCCGTACAGGCCACATCTTCAGCTGGTATAAATAGGTGTAGCTCCATTGAAGTCAATGCACCTGTATTAATTTACACATACTGTGGGAGAGCCAATACTTTGGGGGTGTCAAATAAAGAGCCTGATTGTGTGGACTATTTATTGACCAAACTCTTTTATTTCTTCAAGCAATTATTAAAATGAAAAACAACTGGTAGAGACTAATACTAAATGTCTTACCTATATTGCATCAGGCTGATAGACAGACTCTGCAGTATCTGTTTTCTTGTGTAACCATTTTCATATTAACGTTCCAGGGACCTGCTGGCTGCGTCTAGATTGGCATGATTTTCTGGAAATGCTTTTAATGGAAAAGTTTTCCGTTAAAAGCATTTTCGGAACAGAGCATCTAGATTGGCACGGACGCTTTTCCGCAAAAGCACTTTTTGCGGAAAAGCGTCCGTGCCAATCTAGACAGGCTTTTCCGCAAAAAAGCCCCGATCGCCATTTTTGCAATTGGGGCTTTTTTGCAGAAAACAAATCTGAGCTGTCTACACTGGCCCTTTTGCGCAAAAGCTATGTGCAAAAGGGACTTTTGCCCGAACGGGAGCAGAATAGTATTTCCGCAAGAAGCACTGATTTCTTACAGTAGGATTAAAGCGGCAAGTGTAGACAGCTGGCAAGTTTTTCCGGAAAAGCGGCTGATTTTCGGGAAAAACTGGCCAGTCTAGACACAGCCAGCTCTGTTTCTTGCTCTTTTGTCTTTCATTACAAAGGGAGAAATCCTAGCCCTATTCATACACTACCCCCCTAGTTTGAACTAGGGGGGGTAATGTAGTCATACGGAGTTGTAAATGAAGCCCGGGATTTGAATTTCCCGAGCTTCATTTGCATGATCCCGGCCGGCGCCATTTTTAAATGCCGGCTAGTTTGGACTCTGTGCCGCGCGGCTACACGCGGCACGAACTAGCTAGTTCGGATTAGGCTTCCACGAGGCGTACAGCTAGTTCGGATTAGGAAGCCTAATCCGAACTAGCTAGTTCGTGCCGCGTGTAGCCGCGCGGCACGGAGTCCAAACTAGCTGGCATTTAAAAATGGCGCCGGTCGGGATCATGCAAATGAAGCTCGGGAAATTCAAATCCCGGGCTTCATTTGCAACTCCGTATGACTACATTACTCCCCCTAGTTCAAACTAGGGGGGTAGTGTAGACATACCCATGGGGAATTTGCTCATTAATGCCAACAGAGTAAGAATTTCACCGAAAGTCTGCATGGAGAAATATGAAAAAATATCCAGAAAGTGAATTATTAACACTTCATTCAGAACTTTGTCATCTCCTGATTGGCAAATACATTCCCTGGGGGAAAAAAAGTGTTTTTCTACAGACAGAAACATTCACCTGAGCTGAGCCCAAATAATGGTGGTCATAGTTTTCATGGTCATGGTGCCTGTCATCCAAGGATCTTAGTTTTGAGCTCTTTGCACCTGTCTTCTCATAAGAGCAAAGTGTTATTGAAGCAGTCTCTTAAGTGCCCTAATTATGCCAGCTGGTACACTTTGAGTGAGAGAACATATACAATGCTTCTTATACCAGCAGTAAATTGTTCATCAGTGACTTCCTAGGAAAGAGAATGATAGGATTACAAAGTTAGAAAGGATCACAAGGGTCAGCTAGTCTA